ACTATGAGAAAAAGCAGAGAGAGCAGAACGTTAGAGATTGAACTAACAGATTCTGCAGAGTCGGAGTATAGAGATAGAAAAACCAGCATTCTGTACGTAGCATCCCTCCTATAGCTGTTCTTTAGGTTTTATGAAACTGCTGAATTGCTTTTCCTCCTCACTGATCTCACTGTTCTGATGTTTCTATTGTGATTATTCCAGGTAATGCAACAGAGGAGGGGAGTGGAAAGGAGGAGGGCAGAGACGTGAAAGTTGACTTGGCTGAAGCCTCTCAGGACTCTGCAGGGTAAAATCAATCAATAGAATATTATTGATGGAAACTGAGATATTTGCAGTTTATTAAACATTGGATAACAAAAAAATGTGGAGACATAACCCAGAAGAATGGGTGCCTGACCTTTCAGATTCTTAGCTGAACATTCCTCTCTGACTGACTCTGTTGGCCTCAGATAAAATTCCTGTCAAATATCCTGAAGTCTGAAGGTCGTAATGTAGTAAAATGTAAAAGGTTCAAAGTGTTATTTCTTTATCAAGGCTGTATGTAACCAAGAAGTAAACTAAAGACCAGATTTTTATTTATTTTTTACCCGTTAGACTAAACCCTCCGAAGGCTGATGAACCTGCAGCAGAAGAGGCTTCTAACGCTTCCAGTGACTCGAGCTCCTCCTCCTCATTAGCTGAATCCAGCGAGGACAGACAGATCGTCACACTTGTGGAGGAAGACGAGGATGAAGAACCGAAACAGTCGACTGTCACGCTGTTAGAGGAGGAGGTAGAAGAAGAGGAGAAGAGTGAGCAGAAAACGAGGAGGGATGCTGACAGGAACCAGTGGGAGAGTCAGGCGTACTGTCCTCTCTCCTCCTTGTCCTCCCTCTCTCTGTCCTGCATGGCCACACTGCCTGAGCTGCTTCACCGCTGGTGCTGCGCCAGGCTGGCCAAGGAGCGCCTGCGCAGCCTCAGGAGGAGGCAGCTTCACGCTCGGAGACAGATTGAGGAGAGCCCCCCTGCCCCCACAGCCACAGCTCCACGCACCCCTGACCCGACGCCTCCTCAGGAAGTCCTGCCTCTGACAGAGAAAGCTCCAGAAGCAGAGGTGCTGGGTAGAGTCCATGAGGGAAAACCCTCAGCTGAGGAACAGACTGATTTCCAAATCAACGCTCAGCCGCCTGATGCTCACACACCAGAGCTCAGCATCCTACTAGAGCCGAGTAGAACCGCCTCCATCCCTCCCTACAGTTCATCAGCCCCTCACAGCAGCCTGACGCAGCCCACCCCCACACACCAGGAGAAGCTCTTACCTTCTGCAAAGGATGAAGCTCTGGATCCTGTCTCCACTCCTATCCTCCAGACGGCCTCTATCCCAGAGACGCATCAGGCCATCAGTGCCACACTGACGCTGTCAGTCAGTCCTGAACAGGTTCTGTCTCCTGAGACGGCCTCCTCCATCCTCTCAGTGACCCCCGTTAAAGAGCAGCCTGCTGCTTCTCTTCCTACTGCATCGAGGCCTGAGAACCTTTCCCCGCCTCCCACTGAGCTGCCAGCTGCCCCTCCCTCTGACAGCCACACAGACACGGCTGTAGATCCTGGTGGGAGCAAACAAAAGCAGAACCCTGATGCTCCTCAACTCCAGGGAGAGCTGGGAAGTAATCTCCCCCAGGCGGGAGAACCTCAGCGGACTGAGGACTCCGTGGAAGATGAACTATTAAACACTAACGTCAACATCCAGCGCACGGCGACGGACTTCTACGCAGAGCTGCAGAACGGAGGAGACTACGGCGGGGCGACCCTGAACGGTAACGGGGTGCTGCAGAACGGAGGCGCCGTTCACGGCTCCAGTCAGAAGGAGAGCGTGTTCATGAGGCTGAACAACAGGATCAAAGCTCTGGAGATGAACATGAGTTTGTCCAGCAGATACCTGGAGGAGCTGAGCCAGAGGTAAAAACATGGAGGATCCTAAAAAGGATCATCTGAGTTCATTTCCTACAGTCCCAGTTTGCTGATAAATCTTTTTTTATGGTATCAATGCACCTGTACTCTACAGGTACCGTAAACAGATGGAAGAGATGCAGAAAGCCTTCAACAAGACCGTCATAAAGCTGCAGAATACCTCGCGCATTGCTCAGGAGCAGGTCACTGAAACCTAACGCTGTGAAAATGGCTCATAGTTGATTTACCTGACGATTGGCTCACAGCTGAACCACATCTTTCCGTTTTTAATTCAGGACCAAAGGCAGACGGATTCCATCCAGCTTCTGCAGAGCCAGCTGGAGGATGTTACCAAACTGATGCTCAACCTAACAGCCACAGTGGGCCAGCTGCAACGAGAGGTACAAACACCTCCTCAGTTTTTACCTGCTTTAAAAAAAAGGTCTAAACTAAAGACACAAAGCTGAACATTCAATCACAATCCTGACAATTGAGGTTAGGGCTCCACTGATTGCACTTATACTTTCAGGACCTGCTTGAACTTCTTTTATATTTTAGTTTAGCCTCAGAGAGGATATTGCATATTTTCATTTCAGTAAAAGACCCTTGAAAACACTGATTTGGCTCCTGGATTTACTGTTGTTCAGATGTGGAGTAAGAGTCAGACCCAATGCAGATTTAGAAACATTAGGTTATTATACGCAGCCAAACGTGCCCTATGTTATTTTCAATGTGCACGATTTTCCAAAAACGAAGAAGCGGCTCTCATCTACAGTAAATAAGAAGTTAGCATACATGTTTATACTGTTTATTAAGCTGAAATGTCAGCGTTCCAGCGTACATCAATAAACAGGTAGTTTTTATTTTAAGCCCTTTGGTCAATGTTCAATTCTATTCAGTTTATTTCTATAGCGCCAATTCAAATCATCACATCTTAAGGCACTTTCCAGTTCACCAGATCATCCAGTTAGATTGATTCAAAGTTTTCCATTTAAGAGAAAACCAGCTGATTG